CCCCCCCCCCCCCCCCTCCAGCACTGGCTGGTTTCCCCCCAGGACTGACCTCTGATCAGCTTCCAGGTGTAGATCTCCACCTCCTCCTCAGCCTCCTTCTCCACTGCCATCGTCCTCAGGACCTCCCGGGGGGTCCCTGTGCTCGGGGGCACCAGCATGAACACCAGGACAGGGCTGGGGCTCTTCCCACACCGGGTGGTGGCTCCTTCCTCAGTAGGTTTGACCCTGGTTTCTGGGCAAACAAAACCAAACAAAGCCAGACTCCATTCAGTGGAATCACAGGATTGTTCTGGTTGGAAAAGAGCTTCAAGATCCTCCAGCCCAACCCTTCCCCCAGCCCTGCCAAGGCCACCCCTGCCCTGTGTCCCTCAGCACCATCTCCAGGGCTTGGAAACCCCTCCAGGGATGGGGACTCCCCCCCTGCCCTGGGCAGCCTGGGCAGGAGCTGAAAGGAGGTGACCTGAGCAGCCAGGCTGTGATGCCACCTCTCTGAGTGGTACCTTGGCTCCCGGGGTCCCACCCCCAGCACCCAGATCAGCAGCAGAGAGAGATGCTGATGAAGGGTCTGTGGAGCTTCTCATCCCCATATTTTCCATTCCCCTTGATTTTGGCAGCCTCTGTGCCACTGGGGGTGGGGAAGGGGGGGTTTTCTCCCCTCCTGGGTTCCCTTCATCCGCTGCAGGGACCTTGATGCCACCACCCCCACCAAGCCCAGGCTGGATTCCCCACTTCCCATCTCTCTCCCATCCCTGAGGAGCAATGTCAGCAAGGCCCAGGGATGAGCAGGAGGGAGCCAGCCTGGGCAGGGTGCCCAGCTCAGCCCCACGGGTGGGCTCAGCCCTAGACCCCTCCCCACATGGGCTGCAGGGGTGGGGACACCCACACCAGGGCCACCACCAGGTCCCTATGTGACTTTTCCAACATCCAACATCCCTGCTTGGAAGCAGAGCAGCTTATTATTATTATTATTGTTATTATTATTATTAATTTTTAGTTATTATTATTGTTGCTGTTTGTTATTATTATTGTTATTACTATTACTATTATTACTATTATTATTATTATTACAACATTTCTGGAGTAATTCAGAACCCCCTGTGGTTTTGGAAGGAGATTTATTGCCTTTGGTCGTGGTCCTTGGAAGGCAGAGGAGCCCAGAGCTGCTGAATTTAGCCTTGTTCTCCCCCTCCCTTGGGCTGCTGGAGCTTTTTCACACTACTCGAAAGAAAACTCTGCCTATAAATAGACTCGTGGGGTTTATTTTAATAGGACAGTTATTTCAGGCCTGGTTCTGCTCTCTGGGGTGGTCCTGAGCTGCTCAGCTGGGAGAAGGGATGGAAACCCCAGTTTTAAGGGATGCAAAGCAGGTTCTTTACAGCCATGGGAAGAAAAGGGCTCAGCTGTGACTGGAGGGGGGAGACCACAACCCAGCACGGGGTCCAGGGGGAGGGAAACTTCCATCCCAGATCATCCAGCTTCACCCACTCCACTCCAGGGCTGCTCCTTGCAAGGAGTGAGGCAGCCCCAACCTCAAGACAGGGAAGGAAAATGTGTCTTTGAAGGTGCAACAGGTATCTAAGAACCTCAGAGCTTCATGTTGGAGCTGCTCAATGGCCAACGGTGTTGGGGAGGGATCAAGCCATAGAGTCATGGAATGGTTTGGGTTGGAAGGGACCTTCAAGATCATCCAGATCCAACCCCTCTGTCATGGGCAGGGACACCTCCCAGCAGCCCAGGCTGCTCCAAGCCCCATCCAACCTGCCCTTCAACACTGCCAGGGATGGGGCAGCCACAGCTTCTCTGGGTGACCTGGGCCAGGCTCTCATCAACCTCACATGAAAGAGTTTCTTTCAGAGTCATCAGGGTTGGAAGGGACCTCTGAAGATCATCTAGTCCAAACCCCTGCTAGAGCAGGGTCACCTGCAGCAGATCCCATAGGATCAGATCCAGACAGGTCTTCAATATCTCCAGAGAAGGAGACTCCCCAGCCTCTCTGGGCTCTGTTACAAGGGGTCCTGGCCACTAACTCTGCCCCCAGCAGCTGTGAACATCTCCCCATCCAACCAAGGCATCACAGCAGCTCCCCTGTGGTTGGGATCCCCTTTTACAAAACAGAAACCACTTGGAGTTTCTCCCCAAAGCTGCTGGAGGAAGAGGAGGACAGTGATGGGAATGGCCTGGAAGGAAACAAAAGATGGGTGAAACCTCCATGCAGCAAAGGAGAAGCTGGTAACTTGGCTGAGCCACGTGTCTGTGTGTCTGATCACTCCCTGGGAGCCCTGGAAAGCCAGAAGAAAATCACTTTGGCTGGGTCAGAGTGTTTAACTGGAACGAAATGAAGGCTGAAGAGCAGACAAGAAATCCCAGCAGAGAAATTTGTCGACTTCAAACCAGAAAGACCCTCTATAATGGGAAGAAAAGACTGGAAGGGCTCAGCTCAGTCATCACATCCCATTCCCACCAGGCCCCACATCATAAATCCTGCTCATAAACATCTCAGAAACCTTATTAAAACAAGCTGAGCTGCTGCTCCTCACTCCCCCAAGGAGGCCATCCCAGAACCTCCCTGCTCAGAGGCTGGAAAACCTTTCAAGTCCCAGCTGAGATGATTTTTCAGCCTGTTTGCCCCCATTTTCACTCGTGGCCGTGGCCCTTGCTTCTTCTCCCTGCTGAGACCCCTCCACAAAGCCATCCTGGAGATGCACATCTGAGGAGATCAGCCAGAAGCTGCTCCATCTGCAGCCAGGCTACTCAGGTGTCTTTGGTGTCTCTCAGGAAGCAGAGGATGGTCCATTCCCTAAACACCTACTGCTGAAGGACAGAACAGAAAGGTGCCACCTAGAAAACCTTCTCCTGTGGGAGCCAGAGAAGGTCTCATGTCCTGCCACACCTTTGCTGGGTCTCTGGCTGGAGGGAAACAGCTTTCCAAAGACCAATAGGAAGCTGAGAGACCCAAAACCCATTGGGCATGAAAAAGCAGAGGTCCTTTCCACCACATCCCAGCCTCAGCACCATCCCAGTTCTACCTGGCCCACCCCAATACTCGTGTCCTTTCCAGGGATGGGGACCTCCCTTCAAATTCAAACCAAACCACCAGTGCCACAGGTAAGGCAGGTGTCCTCCTAGCCTCAAACCTACATTTCATCTGCTACAATTTAACTTCTTGTCCCAGCTGGAGGGCTGGACAACAGACCATGTCCTCAGGAAGCATCTTCTACCTGTGCGAAGGGCACGTTCCTCCTCGGGCATCTTTCTCTGGGCTACACCCACTCAAGAGATGCAACCTTTTGGGGATGGGTGCAGCTTCCTCACCTTGGGTCAGACCTCCAAGACAGGTCAACTTGTGCTTGCTGAACCCATCTGGTGGGAACTCAAGTCCCCAGTGATGGGAACCCATCAACATCTGCCTGCCCGGGGCTTTAAACCAAGGCTGAAGGAAGTAGCTGCAGAAGCAGGTGAGAGATCCCACCTACCTGGACATATTTTACAGCATTTCCCATCTACTTTCTCTGGGTAGTCACACGGGTATTCCTTGGGGCAGGTGATCTTCTGGCAGTCCTGGACACCATCCCTGCAGGTGCAGAGGATGCAGGGCAGGAGGCCGTAGAGCCGGAAGGCGGGATGCCAGACCTCCCCGTGGGAATAGGTCTTCCCGTTGTAAACACAAGCTGGAGGAGAAAGAGGAGAGAAGAGGAGGAAGAAGTCCTCCTCTTTGTACACCCAAGGCTTGGGGGAGCTCAGCACCTTCCACCACCTGGGGCACGGGTGGCCCTGCTGCCTTGAGGAGCAGGGTGTTTGCGCAGCAGGTCCGGCAGCAGAAGACACTGGGATGTCACAGCCAGGAGGGGCAGGGGGACCAGGCTCCAGGAGATGGAGGCTGGTGGGCTCACCCACCCTGGTGGGGCCGGGTGGTGAGGATGGGCAGGATCTCATCTGCCTCCAGGGCTCTGCAAGCCCAGGGCATGAAGCACAGTGAAGGGTGCCACCTGCTGACTCCTCCATGAACATTCCTGGAGGTCCCAAAATTCCCTCCAGGGCTTCATCTCCAAGCACTGGAAGGAGACACAGTGGTGGGAGAGCCCTCAAGAGGAGAAGAGACCTGCCTTTTCCTCTTTGTCTCCATGGAGGTTGCCTCCTCATCTCACTTTGCTACTCCCTCCTCCAGGAGAAGGACCACAGCTCTGGGACAGACCCAGCCCGTGGTGAGGGACATCCTGTCCCTCTGCAGCAGGGTCCTGGGAGGACCCTGTGGGGTCTTCCAGGTGAACACCTCCCTTCAGAGGTCCCAGATCTCCAAAACACCCCAGGGATCAATCTTCTTCCAGTCCTTTTTTTGGAAAGTGGTGGCTTCATGCAGTTAAGAGGCCACCAGGGCTGAGAGAGCTGAGCAAGGGTGGCCGTGGAGGAGTGGGAGGTAGGACTTGATGGTAGAAACCTGCTGCTGAGATGGATTCCCTGGAGAATCTAAAGTCCTGGAGAAGTCACCTTAGGCCACATACAGGCTACCTGGTCCCTCCCTCTCTTACCTTTCTTGTGCTTCTCCTTCAAGACAATCTTCACGGTGGTGCCACCTCCTCCCTTGGGTTTGAAGCTCCTGGGGATGAACTCCAGGGAAGAGCTGAGAACGGTGGACGTGGTGGCTCCAGGTGGCTTCCTGCCCATGGCTTCCCCCAAGCACTGGTCTTGTGAGTGCCTCTGTGAGCAGCCAGAGAAAAGAAAGGGTCTCAGATCCAGGCAGTTGGGAAGTTCTCATTCCAGAGCCTGCTGGGAAAAGCCACAGAGGGTCCTGCACACCTTCCATCACCCCACACTCCACCCAGAGAAGCACCTGAGGTCCTGCATCACTAGCACAGGGGTTGAAATGGGCTGGTCTCCTCTAGATGTCTGCTGGGACACTGAGGACTGGCATCCATGCCACCTGAGAGCTCAGGATGGGTCACAACCTGCCCTCTCACCTGGTGGGCACCGGGCAGGTTGGGGTGAGGCTGCCAACCCACAGGATTGAAACCCTGGGAGCACCTCGGGCTTCCAAGAGCAAGACCTGCAGCACAAAGGGTCCCCTTGTGTCTATTTTGGAGGTTTTATGGGTGGTGGAGGTGGGACACTGGCGTTGCACCCAGCAGTGTGGAACAGGGCAGGGACAGGAGCTGCAAGTGACCTAATCCCACAGAGCTGGCACGGGCCACCCAGCTGGGAAATGTCACCGAATCCACCCTCGGAAGCCAAGGAGTCACTTTTTCCCTGCTGGGGCTGCTGATACAAACAGCTTGGGGAAAACACCTTGGCAGCCACGTCCTGCTCTGACTGCCCTGTGGGATGCAGGACATCTCTGAGCCCAAGGTGGGAGAGGAGTCACCAGATCCTGAAGCAAAAACCCCTTAGGAGAGATCTGGGCCATCTGACTCCACGGGTAAGGGGCACTTCTGGTGTTGGTCACTCTGCTCTGTCCATGTTCCTCAGTTGTTCTCACAGCAAGGAGGAGAATTGCCCAAGATTTCTAGTTCCCACAGGTCTTCTCCTCTTCCAAAGACATCAGAGATGCTTCAGAGGAAGAGGACACAAGGCTTGAGGTCTGAGGTCTCAGCCTATGCCCACAGCCCTCACCTAGAGTCAACACCAAGACACAACTCAACTGCAAACCAGGTGCCCATGGTTCTGCTGTCCAAGGACCTGACTACCCTCCCATTTCTTTGCAGAAGACTATGGCCAAGGGCAAAGGGCTTCCTTTGAGCTGTGTCCCGGGGCTGTGCTGGGAGCAAGAACCTGAGTGTCAAAATGCAAACATCACGTACAACACCTCTGTTTAGCTGCAGGGGCTCCTCCTCCATGGGCTTCTCCAAGGAGCCATCTGCAAGGGAAAACATTGTCCTGTGAAATCAGAGAGTCATGGGATGGTTTGGGTTGGAAGGGACCTTCAAGATCATCTAGATCCAACCCCCCTGCCATAGGCAGGGACACCTCCCAGCAGCCCAGGCTGCTCCAAGCCCCATCCAACCTGCCCTTCAACACTGCCAGGGATGGGGCAGCCACAGCTTCCCTGGGCAACCTGGGCCAGGCTCTTCCCACCCTCACAGCCCAGAATTTCTACCTCAAGTCCAACCTAAGTCTCCTCTCTTCCAGTTTGGATCCATCCCCCCTTGTCCTCTCACCACAAGCCCTTGTCCAAAGTCCCTCCCCAGCTGGTGCTGCAGGGTCTGGCTCCCTGGGCTCCCACTGTGAGCAGCTCTCCTCATGGTGCTGCCCACCTGAGAGGTGTGGGGAGAGAAGAGCTTCCAAAATGCAGTTCCCATCACCCAAAGCAAACAGGAGCTGGACCCCAAAAGCACTTTTCTCCCCAGTTCAGCTCCAAGAAGGAGATGATGGCCTCGTAGCTTCGGATGTGGCACAAAAACACCCCAGAGGAGGAGGAGGAGGGGATGGGGATGAGCTGGCCCTCCAAAGAAATCCAGGTGCATTTCTTATGGAGTCAGTGACAGCCCCACTTGCACCAAAGGAAACCAGGAGAGGGGAACACGAGTGGCAGAAGGGGAGAGGTTGGAGGAGGCACCTGGAGGAGCTCATCCTGTGCCCAGGGCCAGGAGAGGACCACGACCTTCCAGCTGGATAAATACTTCTCATATTAAAGAGTTATTTGGTGCTGTGGCTTCACTGTCAGCAGGGTCTGAACCTGCCCATTCATCTCATCTGGAGAAGTGGAGCTTGAGTCTCTCCTCACCCTTCCTGGGGTGGTTCGGGGGAAAAGCAGCAAATTCAGGAGTTGTCCCCCCCCATGAGAGTAATGGGAGTGGAACTCAGCCAGGCTGCTCTAGGGGTGGAAGTGAGGAGGCTTCCCTGACTGTCCTGGAAACTTCCCTGGGGCAACAGGAACATGCCTGATAGAACCATCCATAGAACCATCTCCATCCTGGTTGGGTGACTGGTCTAGAGGACTAAGCCCACCATCCAGGTCACATCTCTTGCACATGGAACCACTGGCTGGGCAAAGAGCTCAGCTCTGGGCAGTGTGTGGGGTGCAAGGACCCCAGCAGGTGTGGGAGGGGAAGCAGGCAAGAAAAAGCTGACTCTTCTGTTTTCTGGTGGGACCCAGACAGAACAAGTGGTCTGATTTACAACCTGGGCTCCCAATTTTTTTTGCTTGAAATGGTTCCTGGTGGTAACATCTACATCTCCCAGCCCTTGCTCAGGAGCAGCTCCTGGGTCCCTCATTACCTTTGCAGACCTGGCAGCAGGAGTCTGGCACAGTCAGAGGAGAGGAGCACAGCAGCTCTGGACAGGTCACCAAGCCACAGTAGATCTGGCCTTCCTGGGAGAGAGGAGCAAAAAACAAACAAACAGAAAGAGCATTGTCAGGATTCTAAAGGTCTGGACACGAGCAAATGTCCCCTGTGTTGGGGTGTCACTTCATACTGCAGATCCAGAATAAATCCTGTAGTCCATCTTCAAACAGAACCACAGACTGGTTTGGGTTGGAAGGGACCTTCAAGATCATCCAGTCCCAGCCCTGCATGGGCAGGGACACCTCCCAGCAGCCCAGGCTGCTCCAAGCCCCATCCAACCTGCCCTTCAACACCCCCAGGGATGGGGCAGCCACAGCTTCCCTGGGCAACCTGGGCCAGGCTCTCCCCACCCTCACACCACAGAATTTCTCCCTCCCATCTCAGCTCCAGCTCCCTCTGCCAGCTGGAAACCCTTCCCCCTGCTCCCATCCCTCCCTGCCCTTGTCCCAAGCCCTTCCCCAGCTTTCCTGGAGCCCCTTCAGGCACTGGAAGCTGCTCTCAGCTCTCCCTGGAGCCTTCTCTTCTCCAGGCTCAACACCCCAACTCTCCCAGCCTGGCTCCAGAGCTGCTCC